ATAAAATAAAATACCACAGACAGAAATATAAACTGACAGATATATTGACAGGTCAGTAGATAGACAGATAGGCAGATAAAGCAAATCTGAAGAATCCTTACAACTGAGATCACCCATTATTCAGACTCAGCTAAAGGAAAAATTCCTAGAGAAAGAAATTAAATAGCAATCGGCAGGCACTGCTGTTTGCTTGATTTTGGACAAGAAGGAACTGCTGTGGGCACCAGTATTGGAAGGATGTGCAAGCTTTATTCCATTCCTGGAAAAAATTATAATTTCCAGTAGCCAATCATGAAAGTACAGTGTTTAGAAGCCAGTGCAGATAGCTCTTTGCTTATGTGTGCATGTATTTTGTTGATGGTGTTTGTTTCTTTGCTTGCTTTCTTACTGTTTTTCATTGGTTTGAGGGATGTGCATTTCCCAAGATCACACTCCTTCCTCCCCTTTCTACTTCTCTGTTTCCATCCTGAGCCCTGGCCTCAGCTCTGTGAGTGTTTTCACATGATCAGTACTGGAGGGGTTTTGCTCTAGAGCAGTGCAGTGTCCTGGATCCCAGAGTGCATAGTGAATCAGTAACAATGGCAGGTCATACTGCATGTGTGTTTCTACCCAGTTCTCTATGGTATATAAACTTCTGACTTTTAGGGTTTTTTAAAGAGTAGAATAATTAATTGAAAAAAAAGTTCTCTTGCTTACATTGACCACTTCTGTAGAAATCCATGTGTTAAGAACATTTAAAGATGCCCTTATTCACCAGGAGTAAGGCTAGGAAGGAAAAGTCCAAAAAAACAAGAGAACTACATGGTGCTACATATATAAAGATTTCAAATAAATAAACAAAGAGAGAAAAACTGAAACTAAGACCCCATTTGACAAGTAAAGGACATGAATAAAACAATTCACAAAAGAGAAATTACAGATGACTAACAAATACATGTGAGGTGGGGGAGGATTTTCAGCCTCTCTAATAAAAATTAATAAGAGGCAATTGCAAAAATGAGAGGCAGTTTTCACCCATCTAATTAACACACATTAAAAATTGAAAAGACAGGAGAGAAGAGAAAATGATGCTTGAAAGAGTTTAGTTTAACTTACTTTTCTGCATTTCTCTAGGGAGTATCAATTAGCACAATCCTTTTAGGAACATTTTAGCATTATATAATCATGGCCCTTTAAAACATTCCTACCTTTTGACCCATTAATTCTACCTCCAGGATGCAGAAATAATCTTGAATGACACAAGAAATTCATGCACAAAGCCCTTCATTGAAATTATATTTATGATAGTGATACACTGAGAATAGCTTACATGTCCAAAGAATTAAAGTTTTAGCAATGAAAAATTTATTTTTAAATAAATTCTTGTTATTATTCAACTTGAAATAAAAATTTTTGTTATCAAAACTTTTGAAATATGCATATAAAGCACCAGAATTATAAAGGTACTTTATAAAATCTTGAAGTCATAAGTAATTATACTTCCTCTTTATTTTTTCTTTGTTTTCCAGATCTTACAATGGTAATCTATGTCACCTTAATAATTAGGAGAAAATTTTATTTAAAACAAAAAATGTGGAATTGTTTGTGAAGTCTTTATATGACAGATCGCCTGTGAGACCCTAAACGAAGAGTCTTACATGTGGCTTCACAGCTTGGGGTGAACGGCGTTTGATGGTGCCACCCCAGTCACAACTGGGTGACCCTAGACCTGTTAATCATTTGTTATATAACAACACCAAGATGGTCTCTGAAATCCTTCTTGCACCAGCAGGAGGTAAGGTCATTTTGGAGGAAACTAAATTCACATTGGGTGGGAGCAAATCACAATCATTGCCAAAGCAAATTGTATCAAAATTATAGCTGATGAAAGTCCTGTACTCTCCAAATCAGATTTTGAATGATTGGAAAGAAAAAGAATTTTCTTCCTTTAGCCTGTCAACTTCCTTCTCAAGGGATATTAACTTCCTGAGAGCTGGAACCTTTGCTGTCTCGTCCACCTTTGTTATTTCCAAAGTCAGGCTCTACTAAGTACTAAAGGAGTGTTCCTATTGAGTGAACAAATAAACTCAGTTGCTCAGTCCAGAAACCTAGGATTCCTGAGTTTTCTCTAGCCTCAGCCCCATACACACTCCATCTTTTTGGTTCTTTCTTAAAGTGTATCTCCAGTTGGCCACCTCTCTCCCCTTCTGTTGCCCGTCCGTTACTCCAGGCCACCACCTCTCTCACCTGGAGAGCTTCAACAGCCTCCCGTCAGCTTTCTCATCTCATCTCATTTCTCATCTCATCTTCCTTTGCATTCTCCACCCATCAGCAAGACTTACGGTCATAAAGCCCAAGGAGATCAGACGTTCTGTTGCTTAACTTCAAAGCACCCCAACTGCCCCGCCTCCTACCATGTTCCTCCATCACCTGCATTGACTGCCACTTCCTATTTCCTCCCATTTCTCAACTCATGCCACCTTCCCCCTTATTCATCATGCCAAAATCACATTGTTATTCTTCAGGTTCCCCTAAGTTTCTCTAATAAGGAAGCTCCTTCCCACTTCAAAGCCTGTTTGTATCTTGCTCCTGCCCACAGCACACTTTCTTTCACTCGGTTTTCAACTGAAATCACCTGTTTTCAAAGACACCTTTATTGTCTGCCTAATTTTCCATATAGGTCTCCCTTTTTCTTGCCTTGTATAGCACTTAGGATAATTTATAATTATATATATTTTTCCTTTCCGTCTGTTTCTCCCACTCAGATGGCACCCCGTGAGATCAGGGACAGTTACCAGTCTTACCTACATTGTATCCCAATGACTAAATGCTCAGCCATGCAGAACAGGAAGTCCATGTCTATTTGCTAAATGAATGAATGAGTTCCTAAAGAGGAAAGCAATTGAAGACACGGATTCCTTAAATGAGAGAGAGACAGGATGGACCAACATACAGTTAGGAAGCAAATAAGGGAAGAATACCAGTAATAACATCAGCCCTGACCTGCAGTAGTCCATCCCAAACAGCGTTTTACCAGTGCCCCTGGAAGAAGTGAATGGTGGGGTGTCATTCTGAGGATAGTGGGTACTAATGGAAGACGATGTGGTCCTCTCCACATTTTTATAAACTTTATGTAATTCATTGGTGTGAATGCTCTTTTTAAAATATATATATAAAGAGCTTAAACTTCTTGTTTTCAGTAGTTCTCATCATATTTGTTTGCTGGCTTAGTATCCTGAGTTTTAAAAAACTATTGGACAAACGGGAATCAGAGAGTAAGGTGTGGGTACCAAGAGTGAACAGAGCAGCCGAGACCCCCTTTCATAGGTGGGATCTGAACAGAGCCTATTTACATGTGGGAGCAGGACCATCTCTTAGGAGAACACAGATGGCAGCGGACACACTTTGAGACTATGCGCTGAACATGTTGGGAAAGCAATTATAAAGGGATTTAAGTAGATGGCAGAAATGGAGAGGTTAAGTCTCTATCCCTTCTGTGGTATATTAAATGGCAAAATGAAAAAGCTTTGGAACATCAGACTAAACTCATATGGCAAATTGTTTTTGGAAAGAGATGGGCTTATGCATTTGGACTCCTGTCAGCTGTGTAAACACCCCATTATCTAGCTGGTTCTCTCTGTGGCTTGGTAAACCCCACGCAGGCTCACTGTACCTGCCCACAGGCTCAGCACAGCCTGGGAGAACCGCCTTTAGAACTGCCCTCCCGGGTGGCCTCGACAGTTGCGTTCTCCACATTGGAGCACTTTGAAGCTGTTCACTTGAGGGTCACAGTGACCCTTTTGGTGCGAAGCCAGCCCTGGGAAGCACAATTTTCCAAAAGAATAAGCACTTGGTTGACATGCCTTACTGAATGGCAGGATGCAAAAAAGATGGTCTGCTGGCTGAATAATCATTTTGTTTTCTTTCTAGGTTCCCCAATTATGTTCATTTGGAAACTGTATCTATTAATTGCCCAATTAGACATCTGGTAATCACTCTCTACAGAAATACCCCACACCACAGTGGCAAGGGCTGGGTGCACTATTTTATTGTATCGCAAATAAAAATCTAATTTGGATTTAATAAAAACTAATTCCAGCTAATTTAATACCAATTGATCATTAACAGGGTACATTTTGTGGTTTATCAAGAATATAGGAAGGATATATAATTAACTGGAAATGGCATCCACAAGGTTATAATTAAATTCTTGGTAACTTTTAACTTTCAGCAAATGTTTTGCCACTTAATTAACATTTCAGAAGATAATTTATAATATGACCTATTAAACACCAATTGCGCAGAGTGCTAGACCAAGTAATCAGTTTAGTGATAGTCTCCTATTTACAAAGTGGCTATCCTTTCAAACTATGTAAATATCTTGTTGCAAAGTAAGTAAAATACCCACATACTTTCTTAGTAAGATGTAATAATCAATTATGGGCTAAAGTGATTAGATTTTTTTAACACTGTGGCCATAGTGTTTTAGTCACTAGAGACTCAGAAAGTCAAAGAGAATTACAAAGAGTAAACAGTTTCTTTGTTTGATTTTTGTCCGTGTTCTCCACTGAACTGGAACCAGTGAAGAAGAGGGCAGTTGCATCCCCAGTTCCTTGCACATAGTCAGCAATTAGCAAATCATTACTTGCTCCGGAGACGGAGACAGGGCTACTGTGAAGAGCACAGGGAAGAGAGGGCCATAGGGCCCACGGGGTGTCTGTAGTATCTAACCCAGCTCAGGTTATGTTCATAATTCCTTTTCTCTAAAATTGGCTGCGATGACTGCTGCATTTTATCGATTTCCAGTTTGGAGAAACACATCAAATTGAAGTGCTACTGTGAGACTTAAGTAAGATATTGCATATGAAGGGCCTGATGGAGTAAACATTCAACAAATGTTTTGCTGTAACCCTTCTCCTTTGTGGCTTCTACCACAGTTGTAATTTCATGTTGAGTTGGGTGACTATCTGATTACTGTCTTTCTTCCCCACCAGATCAGAAGGCCTATGAAGGCAGGACCAGCATTGGTTTTGCTCAACGTTGTGTCTCCAGCACATCCTAGAAAAAGTGATCACAACTTTGACCTTCAGTGATTGTTTGTTTAAGCAACAAATGGATGAACAGATCATTACTGTTATTAGTTATTCAAAATGCCCAACGTACTTGGCCCTCCAAGTCTATGTTCTTCAAAAGAAGAAAAGAAAACTGGAAACTCTAATGACAGTGTGCTGCTCATGAAGTGAACTGGTGCATAGCAATCAGTGCAGCAGTTTGTCCCCAGGAAGGACGGGCCTCTACAGGACTCAAGCCACGAGTTTCACTCTTAACCTTCCAACAGACCTCGGCGATTGTGAAGTCATCTTCTTGCATTCTGTGCCTACTTTGCACTCCCGGTATGGCCATCGGAACTTATTGGAGTATCATTTCCCCATAAATATCTCCAAGTCCTCTCCCACCAAGCCTGGTCCTGCAGGGGGTGTCTCATTTGCATCTGAAGGTATCAAAATCTTGCTGAGCAAGCCTCTTCCATCCCAAACATCTTTTGAGATCTGAGGTCAGCACCGTTTTAACATGATGCTTCTTGCTTTCCCTGAGGCCTGTTCCAGGAAGGTAAGCTATATTAAACTTGCTGGTATTATGTTTGGGCTTATTGATTTTTTTTTTAACTTGGCACCAAATGTCCAAAAGGCAGTTTAAAAAATCAAACGGGGAAAGAAACAAGAAGGGAAAAAAAAAATGCACCCAGTTGCAGTATTTAGCACTTCCAGTATGTATTTCTAAGTTCCAGTGCTCCAAAATGTGTCAAAATGAGGGTTCTTTCCTTGTCAGTCGTAAATGGAGGTGGCAGTTTAAGGCTGGAAGCCACACCAAAGAACAAGGATGTCAGTCCATTGTTTTATATCATCAGAGCTTGGCCAACCCCTAGAAGGTAGAAAACCCACTTAGGTGAGGCTCATTGGCTGGTTGCAAGTAAGGATTCTCTTCTGACATTAGTTCTGGCAACCTGTAAAATTTGACAGCCAGATTCATTATGGGAATCTTGAGGTCTATACTATTACCACGAATTCCAAGGCACTCTTCACACAGTTGTCTCTTGAGACTTGGAGGATCAAGTTTGCTCATTGATTAGATTTGGCCTGTTTGAGCAAAGTGCAGGAAGCCTTCGGAAGGGATATTTTAGTCTGACTGAGGTATGAAAAAATCATCTCAAACTTGCCCCCAATAACCATCGTTGGAAAAGAAGCTGGGACCAGAGTAAAATCAGTCCACTCATCCAGCGTCTGTCCCTCCACGCATCCCTCTCTCCTTTCCTCCATCCATCCTTCTGAAACAGAACCAAAACCCGTTCACTTGCCCTCATGATAGAAAGCCATCCACCAAGACGTGGTCTTTAGCAGCAAGGGGATTTTATTGCAATGCAGCCAGACAAGGACACGGGAGCTATTGCTCAGATCTGCCTCCTCAGGCATTATGTAAGGGAAGGTTTTATGGCTCAAGTGAATGTTCACTCGTTAAGGAAGAGGGGTGGTCAGGCTGGCCTCCATGACTCGGGCGGTGCTAGCCAGTGCACAGGCGTGACATGTTATCATGCGTCTTCACACATCACGTGGTCACAAATGGCCGGGAAGCTCCTCCAGGTGAGGATTTTCACATGCTAATAAGGCAAGGGTTCCTCTAAGTCTTTTAGGGTTGGTTCTGCACATGCCTTGAGAACTCCCCCCAGCCAGTTCCTCAGTGCAGGTCCCCCAGGCCACTCAGCAAGGCTCCTGTCGCTCTGGGTGTGCTTTCTGCAGAACAGCTCGAGAAAATGGTTACATAAGTTAATGTATTTCATGACGATCTCACTTCCATCCCTCCATCTATCTATCCGTCTATCCACCACGCATCCACCTCTCTCTCTATCCATACCTCCCTCCATCCTTCCCTCCCTCCCTCCTGTCATCCATCCTACAGTTAGATGTCAGACACTACATTATGGATTATATGACAGAATTATTTTGTATCATCAAATGTCTCTCTCCATCTTCCAAACTGTCATGTTCTTCTATCCTTCATACTTTTGCTCCTGCTATTACTAACCCTGCAATATCCTGTTCTACTAGGAAAATCTTTTCTCATTGTGAAAGTCCCAGGCCAAAGGTACCATCTCCTGAGAAATATGTCTGAAATGTCTTGAGCCTGAATTGTTTCTATTTATTTGCTTGATACTTTGTGTGTATATATTTAGTAGCTCTTGTCACATTTTTAGTCATTTGAAATAATAATAGCAAGAATAACAATAATAAATAGATTTTATTCAGTAAATACTGTGACTAGGCACTTTGCAAGCACTTCACGTGTATTAAACATTTAGTCTTCGCAGTAATCCTAGGAAGAAGCTGCTGTTATTACCTTATTTTACAGTGAGACAGAGAGAAGTCATTTGTGGGTCATTGCAGCTTGGCAGTAAACTCTCCTTGGGAAGTAGGAGGCATACTCCATACCACCATGGTTAGGCAATGCCTATCACAGGTACAAAATGGATACTTAAAAATGATTGGATGAATCAGGGAATAAAAGAACAAATGTAACTCTTCCTAGGCTGAGTCTCACCTTCCTAAGTGACTGGATTCAATTCTAAGGACAACAAAAGAGTGTAATGTTACAGTGGTTCCTACTTGAACACCTACATTTGTCATTCAGGAATGGATTTACTGTGTATTTTGGTGCAATTCAATGGACTGTCACTGGCTGCTGAATATATATCAGGTACCCTGACTTACAGTTTATGTAGATTATGTCATTTAAGAACTTACAGTTATTATTATGAGGTATTATAGGAAATATGCCATTTCACAGATGCCGAAGACCAAGCCTTGAAGATTTAAGAAGCTTGCCCAAGGACACCAAGCTAGGAAGTAGTGAATTTGATGTTCAGAGTCATTCACATTTTCTTCAGAGCTCTTAAATCTCCACTGGCATTGTGTGTCTCTGCTAACAGGCACACAGAGAGAGAGAAAGCAGTAACTGGGGAGAGAAAATGGCAGATACAGAGAAATCATCATTTCCTGAACAGTATAAATACTTAGATTGTTCTATCCCCACTTTTCTTTAAGACTCATTGTTTTTTCATAATGTCTATTCACAGGGTCTTGAAATGTTATGCACATAAATAAAATACCCATGAGAAAAGGCTTCACTTCTGCTCAGTGACACCTTATATGTAATATAATTTAAGAATTCATATTAATATATTGTCTAGCTTTTAGGTTCAAAATGATATTCTTCATTGCATAGCCATGCAGTGTAGTGGCCATGATGCCTCTTTTATCTCTATGAGATGTTTTCCGCTTAGGTTTATGAGTAGATCCCTATGTACCACTGGCCATGGCATTCCAAGTAGGCCTACTAATGCAATTATTTCTTGTCCTGGAAGGATTACCAGGAGTTCAGCAAAGCTGTGAGTACAGGTGGTATGTAATCATTCAGCAATCACTTGCAATTGTTTATCTGTTCCTACTACAACCTTGAAATTCCTTTTTCAAAGATCACAAATGACCCTTTTTTTCATCAAATAATGGCCCCTTCTCAGCCATGATTTTCCTGTAACTTGGGGCACTATTTGATATCATTCACTTGTCACTCCCTTGGTGAAGCTCTTTACTTCCTGAGTTTCTTTGTCTTTGCATATTGGCAACCATTTTAATTTCACCATTTATTTACAATTTCACTCACTCACTGGAAGAGATCACATTATCTAGCCATCAGGGTTATTAACTTTTCTGTTGATATCTCAAAGAAAAACTCTGCTCCTGTGATACAGTGGGAAAACGTTTTACCATTATCCTATAGATTTTGGCCATCCATTTGAGAACCCCCTGTTTTAAGATTATTAGTTGCAGAGCCAATGTCCAAAACTCATTTTCAAATACATAGAAAAGGAGTATAAACTGAGTTTTTCAAAGTAAGCAAGGGACAGTTTCATTTCTAACCATCAGACTCTTGTCCTTGTGATTCGTCTGGCTTCCAGGCTGCCTGTGGAGCATGACAAACTGCATTTCAGCACACACAGACTGGAGGCTGAGAAATATGACAGACAGTAAGTGAGAAATGGAAAGAAAACGCAAGTCCTCTTTAACTTATGGAAAGTCAGCATTCTTTCAGACCCTGTCTTCTGAACGACACTTAGAGAGGAATGGATGTTTACAACTGCACACACACACAAAAACACCTGTAATTGATATAAAATTGCATGAAAGCATAAAGAAACAAAAATTATGTTTTTAAAGCTGTCCATTGATCTTTGGGTCTTCAAGGAGTAAAAATTGTCCGACACAGAGCAAATACATTAATGCTCAGAGTGCTTCACCACAATCAGATCGTTGGCTGTGATTTTAGTTGAACTGATATGAAAACACTATTAGAAATACCTGCACCTCCCCTTGGGCTGGTCACAGACTCGGCTTCCACTGAGGCAGCCGTCAGTTTCTCCCCTAGGAGCCTGGAAGCTAAGCTTCACCAGACATGTGCCGGACAGCTACGTCGGACATTCCCAGGGTGGTTGTTAAGGGTCCAGAACGGATTAATTTTTTTAAATGAGGCATTGCCAGGAAAGCCTAATATTGGCGTTCTTCTTATCAAAAAGAACACCAAATATCAAACCAAAGAACCCCAATTTTGACTTGGGTTCCAAGGAAGGCTAGGGAGTAATGGAGCAAGTAAATGAAGCAAGGACTCACAGGTCACTGGGCTGTAGAAATAAGTAAGAGCTAGGAGGGTTGGGGGCAAGGGATAAATACAATGTGCGTGTCTTGGATCCACCCTTGGATGGGCCCTGGAGGGTTCCCCATCCCATTGCACTGACCGCTGAGTGATCAGGAGGCAGGGGGTTGGCATGGACAGAGACAGCAGGGGAATCCCACATGCATATTCCTCAACTTTGAATGAAAGAGCGAAATATCATTGAAAGGTTGTGAGGATCATTTCTCTGCCTATGAGAAGGATAAATGTTACACTAATATGCTTTGCTCTTTGTATACTTTTATAAGAGGAGACATTATTATATGTCTTACACAATCACTTGATAAACCAAACACGTCTCCCACCCCTGTTTTCTTTGTGGATTTTTTTAATACCATTTACATTAACATGACAGCATATTTTTCTTGTCAGTTGAGGCAGTTGGTATGGCAACATTTAACGTCTTGAGGAAATGCCTGTCAGCATCATGCCGAAGAAAGTCGTTCTGGCGCATTGTGCCGGTAGGATCATCACCACCTCCAACACCAATGACAAAATATTTTAATGATGACAGTCATAGTAATAACGACAGGGCTCAACTCATACATACACAACTCATAGGGCTCAGAGGAGATGGCAAGTATGTTATACAATTAAAATAAGAAGAAACAAAAGAGAAATACCCTGAATATTTCTTAGCACATGGTATGCCCCTAATATACATTATAGCCTCCACATCTATTTTCATGACCCCAAGCCCAGCAAAGACTTTTAAGGAGAGGGAGATGATGGTACAAACGAAACAGCCAGAGGGTTTTTTTTCTCTCCACCAAACAGCATCATCCCTGGACCCATGTGGACTCTTATTCTCCCCATCAGTGACTGGGGAG